AAAATATAAAAATATAACGATATAAAAATATAAAAAGTCGTATAAATTTGCATATTAGTTGTAGTTAGTATAAATTTTGCATACTGCAAAAGTATCCACTTGCACCCGGTATCGATACTTTTATTCAATATCTGAAAGCTAATAATCTTCTGAAACGAATGGAATTCTTTTACGCGCGTCCAATGTTTATATCGCAGTCTATTAAGTTCGAATTCGCTATCGATTCTTCCTTCTCCCCCCTCATTGGTTTCAACATCAAACGTGTCTCTCTACGATCCCCCCCCCCCTCTCCTTCACCTCTCTCTAACGACCAATATTATCAAGATGATTTATTTGGAACTTTTCGAGTCTGCATACTTAGGTTATTACCGTCATAAATTCGAAACACGTTCACCACGGTTGATACCATGCCTGACCTACCTCATCTTGAAATATGAGAAACTCCGCGCAAGTCCCTATAAAATATTCCCCTCGTCCTCTCGCGTTTTTCACGTTGATTTTCCTTCTCCGACACCGCTGTTACGTATCCATACGTGTATACGTATATATATGTATATGCAATACGCTGTCATACTTTCGGCGACATGAAAAAAGGGACTGAAGGGCCAACAACATTTTTCTCCTCGAAGTGATCGATTTTGCCAGACTGATCGGTCATTTATAGACAGAATTCAGAATTCATTCAATAAATTTACATAGTGTGTGTTATTATAATTATAATGATTTGTGATAATTTCAGTTACATTGATATTTATTTCTCTCGAAATGTCACTTTAAAGAACGAATTTATCCAATTATCAAATAAATATTACTTTCTCGAGCAATCAGCTCTTCAGTTTATCAATTTTACATTTTTCATCATCAATCATTCGCTCGTGACTTCAAATTAATTGACCTCTCTGACTGATCAAATGAGTTACATAATCGTTGATAATCGAAATTCATTGTCTGCTAAATATACTGAAGAACATTGTTGCGAAAGTTTATTTACAAGTTATTGTTCGAGATAAATTTCGCCCAGGTCTGGGGAATGACACTGGGGGGGAAGCAGCGAACTGGCTCGAACGGGGAAGCCTCGTTAACGAAACGCCAGAAGACAAATGCGTTCCTCGATACAAGGCATTAAGAAACTCGTTACAACGGGTTGCAAGCTGGAAAATAGCCCCGACCCTGTTTGGGGCTATTGGTTTCGTTGGTGGCTGGCGATGGGAGTTGCAGTTTATCTCGTTGGCCCGCAGTTCCGCGATAGCTTGCTTTGCTGCGGTCGAAAGTCCAGCGCCCCCCGCTCGCAGCAACGCGATTTACGCGGCAACAAGTTCGATTTTCCCATTATCATCCACCGATTCACGTGTGTATATAATATGACACTTCGTGCCGTTTGCCGAGTATGAAATTTCATTTAGAATTTCTAGACACGGAAAGCTTCACTTCCGAAATTAATCGAGTTTTGCTTTCCTTCCATCTGTGTAAAACGGTCGATTCTTAATTCACCTAACTATATTGATCGTTTTTAGTGCCAGGGGCGCTGTTTAAAAAATTGACACCCTGTATACAGGGTGCTACATATATACAGAAATTGCTTCCTAATAGAATAAATTTCATATGTTTTTAAAATTTCGATTAATAATTTTCAAAGCGTAATGGGAAAGATCATGTTTGAACTTGAACTTAATTTGAAATTGACAAAATTTTTCTTATGTTACGGTGTTTTATTAGTTTTGATTAGTTTTTCTTGTTTCGTTGTTAAAAAAAAAACTTAACCTAAACCTAACCTAAATCGTGCAAGATAGTCCCATGCGGCGCGATAGCGCTTTCTCGATGTAACCATATAAAAGTATCTGCAAATAAAACTGTCTGTTACAAGATAAAAATTGTCTATTTATGTAGTTTTAAGAGTCACGTGATTTAGGTTAGGTTTTCAATTGAAAAGAAAGTAACAAGGAGAGGAAGCGCGAAATCTGAACAGCGCGATCGACCGATTGCGGACCATAACGAGTGACCGAACCGTATACAATAATCCGTTTTGCTTTCTTTTTGAACTCGTCGGTATCACTGGGTAGAAATTACTGAGAATTTAATAAATTTATTATTTGTTTTGCCTGGGTTGTACTTAAATATACTTGAAACTGAGGAAATATTGCAATTTTGGGACAAAAAGTTCTCGACGTGCGTGGCACGTCATTTCAACGAAAGAGGTTAACCACTTGCGCTGACAACCGATTGCGGACCGTAACGAGTGACCGAACCGTATACAATAATCCGTCGTTTTCTTTTTGAACTCGTCGGTATTACTGGACAGAAATGACTGAGAATTAATAAATTTATTATTTGTTTTGCCTGGGTTGTACTTAAATATACTTAAAACTGAGGAAATATTGCAATTTTGGAACAAAAAGAATTCTCGACGTGCATGGCACGTCATTCCAGCGTAAGAGGTTAACTCTCACTTACGCTGACAACCAATTGCGGACCGTAACGAGTGACCGAACCGTATACAATAATCCGTCGCTTTCTTTTTGAACTCGTCGGTATCACTGGATAGAAATTACTGAGAATTAATAAATTTATTATTTGTCTCTCCTGGGTTGTACTGAAATATACTTAAAACTGAGAGAATATTACAATTTTGGAACAAAAAAATTTTCGACGTGCGTGGCACGTCATTTCAACGAAAGAGGTTAACTCTCACTTACGCTGACAACCAATTGCGGACCGTAACGAGTGGCCGAACCGTATACAATAATCCGTCGCTTTCTTTTTTGAACTCGTCGACATGATGTCACCGGATAGAAGTTATTGAGAATTAATAAATTTGTTTTGCCTGTGTTATACTTAAATATACTTGAAACTGAGGAAATATTCCAATTTTGGTACACAAAAACATTCTCGACGTGCGTGGCAAGAGTTTAAAAAGGTTCCAGCTCCCTTCAGAAACTTAGAACAGCTCCTTTGAGAACTTTCGACTTTCAATTGCAGGGCACAGTTAATCAAATCAAGGCACAAACGAATGTGATAATAAATGGCGGTGGGCGGTTCAGCAAAATTTGCCAAAAATTAACAAGAATTCAGTCATATCAAATACGAGACCGAGACTAGACGAGGCGAGGCAGCGGTGACGGGATTTTTTGGTTTCGGTCGAGAGCGAAGCAACAGCTAGTAGGGGCGGTTTACAGTGTGTCGCTTGTCCACGGGGTGAAAAAGGAGGGTGGTCTGGAGGAAGGGGTTGGACAGGGAGCCGAGAAACGCAGGCTGAAAGAGGAAGAAAGACAGAGAAGCAAAGAGAAAGAGAGAGAGAGAGAGAGAGAGTTGGCTGGCGTTTAGAGGGGTAGGGGATGAAAAACGGTGGGAGGGTACGCGAGCCGGGAGCTCGAGAGAGGGAGAGGAGAGACTGGTGGAAGGAAGGAGAAGGACAGAGGATGTCTGTCGTGGCAGTGGTAGCATGTACGGCGGTTTAACTCGCGGGGAAAACTCTGAGAGCACGAGCTCGCGATCCTCAGTCGCGTGTGACACGCGGCCTTAGCTGGTTGCGCGTTTCGATCGACATTCCGGATCGTCTGTGACCTGCGTGTGACCTGCTCCGTCACCTTCGAGTTTGATCGTCGATCGTGCGTGATGTCGGACGTTCCCCGTTCAATTAATTTAATTAACAATCCAGTTGATACACTCTCGCGTTTGAGTTTGACTTTTATCAGACAAATATCGCGGACCGTGTACATTCTTGGGAATTTTTTCTCATCGATTTCGTAGATAATCTTAGCTCGCGTCGATTTAAATTTATTTGGCATCTCGACGTCACTGGCAGACCCTGCATATTCGTAAATGATTGATGGTCTCGCGTAGTTTGATTTGTGGGGCATTGTCCATTATCGCGGGCCGTGTCTATTCTTGGGATGCGAGTTTGGAATTTTTCATCGACTTGGTAGATAATTTTAGATCGCGTAGATTTAAATTTACTTGGCATCTCGACTCGTGAATCAAGTGGACTCGACGATATAGTGGATATTTTTCGACCTTCGAGTAGTGTCCAAGCTTGAAATTCTTATCGATAACAACGATCGTGAATCGTTGACGTTCCCTCGGTATTCGGTTTTATGTAATTTTTATGATATTGACGACGCCACAATTTTGGGGAATTTTCCAAGCCCAGATTAAAGTACAATCCGAGGAACTTTGAGAAGAATGTAACCAGTGACTTGATATTCAATCTTGTGGATTTGCGCATTTGTTAATCATCAAAAATTTCGAGTTTGATCGAGATGCGTGAATCAAAAAGTGATGTTAAGCGAAACTGAAGTTCAAGTTACTATAATTTATGGTCGAAACGTCGCCATCGAAAGCGTTGAATTTCTGAAATTGAAGTTCAAACGTTCGATCGGTTGCATAATTAATCGATAATCGATAGCTTAATTAAATTAATTAATTAACATACATGTTGATCTATTTGCAATAAAACTGCAGTTCATCGCAGCTCCTCGTGTATTTTATAGGCCTTTGAACTCGTGGGATTCAGGTTCGAACGTTTCGTTAAAGACGTGTGAACAAGTCTGTTTGAATTAATTAATAATAATCTGTTGAAGTCAGAATGTACAAAACACAATATATTTATAAAATTGTCCAATGAATTTCATGAATGAAGAAAAATATCCTGTCGGTATATTTGAACTGGAACAGTGATTTGTTAGAATTTTTTAAAACTTTCGATCACCAGAAACGCAACGTTGTTTTTACTTAACAAAATCTTACATATTTTAAAATTGCAATTTACACTTTTATACCATTTACAAGAATTTACCGTCTGCTATAAATTTTACTTTATATACGCGTGACGTTTTTAATGAAACAAAATTTAAAACTGAAAACAATAAGATCAAGGCTAGAAATAATAAAGTTCAAAGTTTAAAAAAAATAACTTGTAACAAAAAATTAAAAGCTAAAAATAATAAAATTACGACTAAGAATAATGAAATTTGAAGCTTAAAATAACGTAAAGTAACAAGAATAGTAAAGTTAAAAGCTAAAAGTAAAATTCGACACTTTTAAATAAAAAAAGAACGACAAACAAAGACGAAGGCTAAAATATTCGCTAAAAAATTCTACGTAACTTCCGGTTTAGCGCGACACGATTCTTCAGTGTGTCAGTAACGATGATTCTGCAAGGATCGGTAAACAGATCGAAGATAGAACAGTGATCAACGATCGACAAGAGAAGAAAACGGTTGGGTCGAATTATAAATTCTTAATGTTTATCAATTTGTAAGAACATTTCATCGAGGGTAAGGTGAGACGATCGTTCGACGAGAAACGATATCCTGATCTTCCTCGGCAGGATTTGATGCGCGCGAAACGGGCCGGCTGAGAATCTCTCGCGTTCCAGGTCGGATGAAAACAGCAATCCGGACGTTTGACAAACGAGAACGACGGCAACGCGTTGCAGGAACGATTCGAGTGAAAGAAAACGGGCAAACAAGAAGCTCCCATCGCTCTTTACATCATCCGGAGAGAAAGTTCTGAACGAAGAGTGGTATTATATATTTCGCGGAGTCTTCCAAGGAATAATCCCTTTTATACTTGGAGAAAGAGGCGCGTTCGAGTTCCAAAAAAAGAAAAAAAAAAAAAAAAAAAAAGAAGAAGAAGAAGAAGATTTTAACTAAAGAGAAACAAAGTGAACAGAGTGTATAGTCCACGTGACTGATTATTAGCGAGCTGAAAAACTGAATCGCGGAGTTGTTCCCCGAAGCGGAACGGAAGTGAGTCGAAGAAAGAACGAGGACTTCCGCTTCTCGAAGTGAGGAAGCGAAACGAAACGAGGGGGAGAAAAAGAAAAGAAACAGGAAGGGCAAAAAGAAGTAGCTTGAAAATTTTTCAAACGATCCCTGAATCATGTGAACGTTTCAACTCGCTAGCCAAAGTCGTCCAAGATCGCGCGCCGAGCTCGAAATTGTCTCCAACCTGGAAGGATCTTTCGCCTCTTTCCTGAACGTCATCGGATTTCTCTCGCAAGAATCGGTTAATAGAGATTCTTCGCCCTTCTTCGTCGAGAGAAGGGGAATTTGGATCGCTTTGACGGCGAACGACGAAGCGTGACCGTGTGCCGGAAGTCGAGGAGCTTTCGACATCGAACGAAGGCTTTCGCCCACGATGAGAAACAGTTCCGCGAGACGTAACACGCTCGGCGAGCTCGCAGTCACCATGATGGGAACATCGTTTAGCCGCGTTCCGAGATAATCGAGGCCGCTTCTTTTCGGCGAAATATATCGGTGGCGCGAGGAACGAACCGGAAACGAAGAATGCGAGGCGCCGCGTAGAAGATTGGTTGTCGAGAAGAGCGACGTTTTACCAGAGTGAAAGAAAGAGGCAAGAATTACCATGAGGGATAAATTTGCATTCAGCGTAAGTGCCCTGGAAATATTGGATTCTGCGTCTTTATTTTAGTAGGCGAGCTCTTTATTTTAGGAGGGCGAGCGTGACATCGATGTTAGCCGATCGATCGCCGGTAGCGTTCGTGTTACTCGAGGAGAAATTATCTGTGCCGGGCTTCGGAATTAATTATAACGCTTTCCTGTGGCCGTGTATATTTTTAAGAGGGTGAAATATCGGCCAGACCTCACTCACAATCAGCGTCGATCGACGTTTTGTTATTTATCGCGTGAAATTGTCAGGACGCAGCGTGTTAGCTGATCTATTATTGTAACTGTGTCAGACGATAAATATAATCTCATTCGCGTATTTTATCTTGGGGAAACTTCATTCTGTTTCGAAATCCGCTTAAAATTTCACAAAGGTGTGCACAAAGTCTTTTGTATTGTCATTTGAATATTTAATGACGAACGCCACGCTATAAAATAAGGGATTTCGTTGTTCATAAAATATACTTCGTAATTAGATTCATATTTTACGAATTATCGAGAATAGATACAAATGAATAACTATAATTAATATTTCGTAGTAAATATTATACTGTTGTAGGTTTACTATGGAATAGTATTTCGCAATGACATTCATATTTTACGAATTTCGAGAATAGATACAAATGAATAACTATGATTAATATTTTGCAGTAAAAATTATACTGTTATAGGTCAGGTTTACTATGAAATATATTTCGCAATGAAATTCATATTTTACGAATTTTAAGAATAGATATAAAGTATAATAGAATAAAGAATAAATATAGTTAATATTTTACAATAAAAATTATACTGATATAGATTTACCATGAAATATATATTTTGTAATGAAATTCATATTTCACGAATTTTAAGAATAATTATAATTAATATTTCGTAGTAAAAATTATACCGTCACAGGTTAGCTTTACGATAAAATATATTTCGTAATAAAATTCACATTTAATAAATACTTCACAGTAAAAATTGTAGGTTTATCGTGAAATATATATTTCGTAATGAAATTCATATTTCACGAATTTTAAGAATAATTATAATTAATATTTCGTTGTAAAAATTATACCGT